TAGTAGTAAGGCTAGGAGCCCCTAGTAGCGTCCTTGCTCCTATAGTAGTAAGGCTAGGAGCCCCTAGTAGCGTCCTTGCTCCTATAGTAGTAAGGCTAGGAGCCCCCAGTAGCGTCCTTGCTCCTAGTAGTATAGTAGTAAGGCTGGGAACCCCTAGTAGCGTCCTTGCTCCGAGGAGTAAGGCGAGGAGGCCCTAGTAGCGTCCTTGCTCCTAGTAGTAAGGCGAGGAGCCCCTAGTAGGGTCCTTGCTCCTAGCAGTAAGGCTAGGAGTAGGAGCCCCTAGTAGCGTTCTTGCTCCTAGTAGTAAGGCTAGGAGCCCCTAGCAGCGTCCTTGCTCCTAGTAGTAAGGCTAGGAGCCCCTAGTAGTGTCCTTGCTCCTAGTAGTAGGGCTAGGAGCCCCTAGTAGCCCTTGCTCCTAGTAGTAAGGCTAGGAGTCCCTAGTAGCGTCCTTGCTCCTAGTAGTAAGGCTAGGAGCCCCTAGTAGCTTCTTGCTCCTAGTAGTAGGGCTAGGAGCCCCTAGTAGCTTCTTGCTCCTAGTAGTAAGGCTAGGAGCCCCTAGCAGCGTCCTTGCTCCTAGTAGCAAGGCTAGGAGCCCCTAGTAGTGTCCTTGCTCCTGTGTGTGTGCGAATGTGTGCGCATGTGTCATCAAGTGTTCACAAGTGGAATGGCCCCATCAGTAACCGCCCAGCGCGCCTCGGGTGCCGCAGGCCTGGCCCAGGCATCCCGGTCTTCCGCCATCTGCCCTGGCAGTGAAGTGACTCAAACCGAGAAAACTGCATTGCTGCCCAAAAAGCCCAAGGTGTATGAAAGAAAGGTCTACTGTAGATACATGTACTCTTTTGTACTATATAATATAAATCTATATAACAGGTTTGCAAAAAAAAGGATCTCAGTGGATCTGAACTGAAGAGTTCTATGTTCGGTGGGAAAGTCACTACTTCGGACTCCAAACACAGCCAGTGTGGCCCACCAACCGCTTTGCCAACTCACGATGTCCACCTCAGTTGAGCAATACTGGCAGTGCGCCGCAAGGCAGACTCTAGCATCTCCCTATGTGAGACATACACATGCGTCTCAACTTGCCAATGTGGTCAATTGCATCATACTAACACATGCGTCTCATTGTCGACCTTTCGCAGGAAGACTTGGGCCCATGCCCTCCACAGCTGCGCGTAGTGCACGGGCCTGTGCAGCCAGGTCGCTATCAAGGGAGGCACCGCGGTCCTTGGAAACTGACATGGCTCGAAGACTGTTTTCACAGTTCTTTCCAACAAATTGAACGCATCACGTTTCAATCTATCAGAGTTTTTCGTCGTTGCTTGGGTGCTTCCAAAGTGGCAAAGAGCATCAAGGCCACTGCATCCCAGCCAAGGTCCAACGCCTACGCACCGCAAAGAAACTTCAAAGGAATCCACAGCTTACTTATCATGCGAATCACGCCGTGCGAGTTGATTTCTTAGCGAGACAAATGCTGTATGTGCCACACAATCATCATGGTGTCAGGAGAAGAACAACTGGTGAGCCCCCACCTTTTCTACGATTGAACGACCGTCTGGAAGCCGACCAGTGACCTCATGGTTGATTTCAAGTCATAATGGCACTTCGGAATATACACTTTCGATACGCTTCAAGTACAGCATAAACTCAAATCGGGTTCCAATATCAAAACTGAATATGCGATCCTTCCAACAACTGTTGCCATCTGAGAATTCAGCAGGGAGTTCCCCTGCTTCTCTTAAAAGCATCAGGCAGAGCTGCTCCTTGGATCCAATTTGGTAGGTCCGACCACTGCTCGTTTGTCGGAAAAACCAATCCAAACCACAAGATGTCTGGGAAACCCTGCCCCCCAGTGGCGGCCCTGATCGATGGTGGTCCGGAGGATCGCTCCGAGCAACGGGATGTATAAACCTGGAGCGTCTTTGTCCTAGTAGTAAGGCCAGGAACCCCCAGTAGCGTCCTTGCTCCTAGTAGTAGGGCTAGGAGCCGCTAGTAGCGTCCTTGCTCCTAGTAGCGATGCCAGGAGCCCCTAGTAGCGTCCTTGCTCCTAGTAGGGCTAGGAGCCCCTAGTAGCGTCCTTGCTCCTAGTAGCGATGCCAGGAGCCCCTAGTAGCGTCCTTGCTCCTAGTAGTAGGGCTAGGAGCCCCTAGTAGCGTCCTTGCTCCTAGTAGCGATGCCAGGAGCCCCTAGTAGCGTCCTTGCTCCTAGTAGTCGGGCTAGGAGCCCCTAGTAGCGTCCTTGCTCCTAGTAGCGATGCCAGGAGCCCCTAGTAGC